CTCACTTATTACATCATTTGAACTATGTCTGGAGCATTATTAAATAAGTACTCACTTATTATATCATTTGAACAACTCCTGGAGCATCGTTAAATAAGTACTCGCTTATTACATCATTTGAACTATGTCTGGAGCATTGTTAAATAAGTACTCACTTATTACATCATTTGAACTATGTCTGGAGCATTGTTAAATAAGTACTCACTTATTACATCATTTGAACAACTCCTGGAGCATTGTTAAATAAGTACTTGCTTATTACATTATCTGAACTATACCTGGAGCATTGATAAATAAGTACTAACTTATTACATTTTCTGAACTATGTCTGGAGCATTGTTAAATAAGTACTAACTTATTACATTATTTGAACTATACCTGGAGCTTTGTTAAATAAACCTTTGATATTAGGTGATTAAGAACAAAGATATTTACATCTTTCGGTACACTGGTTTCACAGCAAGTGTTAGTGCTCAAAAATAGCTGAATTTTCTTGTAGAATCAACTTTTTTTGTAATGTAGCTTCAAACAAAATAAAAATACCGATTTGCTTCGTGGTGATATTGTGCATTCAGATTTATAAAACTTAATTTTCAATTTCTTGTGTCAACTCCTACAGAGAGAAAGGATTTATACAATATATCAGTAACATCTAAATTAAAATTACTTTAAAATGTTTAACCTTCTTTTATGCTTTAGTCAAACAAATTTTCAGCACGTATATCCTCACTTTGTTGTAAGTTGTCAACTTCAGCAAGTACATTACTAGCCACCAACCGTCAGACACCGATATATTTAAAAACTTTGTTGGCATGCTGACATATTTGTCATGGAACACTTACTCACTTATTGTTAAAGGAATGTGGATATCACAAGCATGAACTCCTTATCACCAGGATTGAGTCTTACTTTTAAAGACATCTAAACATGCAGCCGACAACTTAACTCACAATACACTCAAACCACGTATCAGCTCTCGAAGAGTCAGTATGTATTATCGGTTTGTAAATTTCTTGTCTGCCAAAATTCACAGTTTTGATGATGATGATGTTGATGAGAGAAAAACTGCATTTATTAAACACAGTCAGTACATTAAAACATTCAGATTAGGCCTCATTTTTTAAATAGCTTTAACCTAGATGAGTCTTCAACTCAGAACATACTCTCAGATGTTCAACGTAGCTTATATTTATTAAAATCTTTCATTTTTACACCTAGGGCCTGATCATAAAAATATACACAACACAGAAAAAATTAGCTGTTAATTGTCTGGAAAAGAAAAACAAAAAACACTCACACAAAGCTGTTGTGACGGAAAGTCTAGAAACAAACACGTCAAGTTACTGTAGTTAGAGATTTCAAACCATGGATGTGCTAAATCATATCCAGTTTCAAGTAAAGCCCTTACTATACACGGTTTCTTTCTATATTGGAAACTATAACACTTTACAGTTTCAAGTAAAACAAGTGAAGAACAACTAACTAAAAAATGTGTTACAAGTAAAGATAGAAACAGTGCAAGAAGTTTTGTACCATGAATTTTGATGACATTATTGAAGAGAGTAAAAGTGTTTGTTTCAGTGTTTTTCCTGAACAAAGTGTATGACAGCTCTTTCTTAACATTTCTAAAGCAAAGATGACAACAATGTAAGACATTCTCCTTCACAAAATACTTCTAAAAACAAAGGTGATAAAAAAATCAGGGCAGTTAATACCAAAAATTGCTAAGATCAAGGGTAAAAAATAGTGTAAGCTGAGTAGGGCAGGGAATTCAAGAAGCTGACAGGAATATGTAACTCAGTATTCTTCATCCTCGTTGTTCTGAGGGACAATGATTCCATCTTCTAAAGGATCATCGGGAACAGCAAAGCCTTCCTAGAATAACAAAAACAAACAAAATTGTAATAATAGTACATTATTAACAGTAGGTTATTGAGTTAATTGTAATAGTAGTACATTATTAACAGTAGGTTATTGAGTTAATTGTAATAGTAGTACATTATTAACAGTAGGTTATTGAGTTAATTGTAATAGTAGTACATTATTAACAGTAGGTTATTGAGTTAATTGTAATAATAGTACATTATTAACAGTAGGTTATTGAGTTAATTGTAATAATAGTACATTATTAAAAGCAGGTTATTGAGTTAATTGTAATAATAGTACATTATTAACAGTAGGTTATTGAGTTAATTGTAATAGTAGTACATTATTAACAGTAGGTTATTGAGTTAATTGTAATAATAGTACATTATTAACAGTAGGTTATTGAGTTAATTGTAATAGTAGTACATTATTAACAGTAGGTTATTGAGTTAATTGTAATAGTAGTACATTATTAACAGTAGGTTATTGAGTTAATTGTAATAGTAGTACATTATTAACAGTAGGTTATTGAGTTAATTGTAACAGTAGTACATTATTAACAGTAGGTTATTGAGTTAATTGTAATAATAGTACATTATTAAAGTAGGTTATTGAGTTAATTGTAATAGTAGGTTATTGAGTTAATTGTAAT